TCTTTGAGGACTCGAAATATTTTTCATATGAGGAAGGATTTTTTACTTAGATATGCAGAACCAAAAGTGGAAAGCAGAGTATATGCAATTTTCTCTCTTCAAATAATTAATTCTCTCCATCAATGACATTCAATAATTTATAAAATAGCTGTAAGGTTATCTTTCAAATTTTTACGTAACTTCGTACACGTCCATAATTCTGAAGATGTTTGTCCAATATAAGAGAGATCCATTTAAAATTTATCAATTTCCATCCACTCAAAATTGACAAATTTGTAAAGTTGTGCAGAGTGCCAACGAGAATTGTACCGAATGCCCCGTGTAGCACTCACGCCATAGGTTGCCAACCCTTGGTACATATCTTTAAGAAGAAATTATTTCAATAGCCATTTAATTATTTAAAAGAAAATTATTTTTGTTTTTATTATAAAACAATATAAAAATGTTTGTTTTTTGTACTCAAACTTTAAATACATACTACAAACACATTTATGCCGTGTTTCTCAATTTAACCGCTACACTAAGAAAGTTATGTTTATGATAAATTTCAGCTTCTTTTAGCCATTTTGTATTAATAAAACAAGTAAATGTTTGCTAAAAATAAACAGTACCGTGATTATTACTGTCTCTTAAATTTATTTGTTTAACATGAACAATAAAAATCACTTTTAGTTGTACCAGCTTGCAGAGCTTAAGTGCGCTATGAATTTTTTTTAGTATGCTTGAATTTAAATGGCTTAAAATCGCTGAGAATCTTGATGACAGTATCAAACATGTTGAGCCAATCACTATTGACTGTCCGGGCCCAGACGGACTAGTCAATCGTTACAGGCGCCAGCAATTTGAATGGTTGAAGGTAAACCACTTAAAGGCTGTAAAAATATTTGACAAATTTCGTAGAATTATTTATGATATTTGTGTTTCTGTGGCTGAAAAAGAGTGAATGGTAAATAGTGAGCCTTAACGAGTTTTTGGACACATTAAAGTCGCGTTGTGGGATGCATTACTCAAAGATGAGGCTCTTTTCTTCGCGGTTGATCCCATTCGGTAATTTCTTCATGACAGAAACAATTCCAAAACGCCAAACGGATCTCCAGCGATATTTTCCCGGTTGTCTAAGGCAGTGATCCGTAACCCCCGGTCCACGGACCGGTACCAGTCCGTGGATCAAATGGTGCCAGGCCACCTAAAGAACATTAAACTATTGTCATTTTATTTAAAGTGGTGCATTTCTCTAGAATTAGTGCAACTTTCCACGGAAATATATATAACTTTATAATCCACGTTAAATCCCATTTATTCATTTTTGGCATCTACATTTTATTCAGAAGGCCTATTTCAATGTAACTAAGTTAAAATTGTTAAATCAAAACAATAACAACAATCAACATGTCCCACCCTCAGCGGGCCGCGGTAAAATTATCAAACCTTGACCGGTCCTCAGCGATAAAAAGGTTGCGGAGCACTGGTCTAAGGCAGTGATCCCAAACCACGGTCCGCGGACCGGTAATGGTCCGTAGACCAAATAGCGCATTACCGTAAAATCCGGCGTATAACGCGGACCTACACTTTAAAGCTGTAATTTTTAATTTTTAGGTATGTTCGCCGTATAACGCGCACTCACTTTTTTACGAAGACACCTGAAATGTACATACGTAATGCTCTTATGTTTTGACGTCATTTATTCGAGGTATCCAAGCCTTAGGAAAAATAGTATACTTCTAGAACTACAGCCATTTAATTTCAAAAGATATGTCGTTTCTTTTAAACAGTGTCTAATTTTTTTTCTATGCTCATCTTTTATTTTTATTTTTAAAACTATCATTTTTATACCCTGCGTATAACGCCCACCCTTAAATTTCTATCTTATTTTTTGTGTTAAAAGTGTGTGTTATGCGCCGGATTTTACGGTAAATTATTTTCATTTTATATAATGATAATGGGGTGTATTTCTCTAGGGTTTTATGGTAATCATTTTATACACCTTGTTAAATCACTTAATATTAATTTCTTGGTGTAACTATATTTTATTCTGAAAGCCTGTTTAAATACAATTTAACTAAAATTATTAAATAAGAGCAACCAAAGTTATAAACAATCCACGTCACCCTCCTTCAGTGGGCCGCGGGAAAATTATCAAACGTTGACCGGTTCGCGGCGATAGAAAGGTTGGGGAGTACTGGTCGAAAGCAGTACTTCTCAAGTTTTCAATATGTGCGACCCAATATTCAATCATAAATTTCATCCTGGCCCCCTCCATATATGCAATAACAATGTATTAGTTTCAATAATACTATACTTTGACGCTAGACCTATACAATACGGTTTTAGCCACCGACGTATATAAACGTCTCGCTCAGTCAAAGCATTAATTGCCCCGGATGTATATATACGTCTTTCCGAAGTACAACCTTTTCTGTGCACTTCTCTTCATAAAATTATTTCGAAGGCTTTGGAATGCAATTAAAAGACCTTCAGAATGTTTGTGCAGGATTTAATTATTTCAGAGTATTTGATTATTTATTCTTTTTCCCCCACCCACACCCCTCAATACATCACATACGCACGCGTACGTGGAAAACGATGGGATTGGGAAACGAATTGGTAACCTTTAATCAGCATTAAAGGGATTAATAATAAACAGTATAAATTTTTAAATAAGTGTTCATTTCTGTGTATAAATTTATCTGTGACAAGCCCATGGGGTCACTGGTAATTATTAAAATTATTCTTAACTTAGTCTTCTAAATTAATTATAAAACACATCATGCTGTATTGATACAGTTATAAGTGTATTATATCAGTGTAAAATGAGTATTTTATAATATTTTATTATGTCAGAAAGATCTACTTTCTGTAAATCGATAAATTTTTAAAAATAAAATTTTGTTTTCGACTTTTCAATGTGCTCATGCCCTCTTCGTAGAGTTATTACGCCCCCTGGGGGGATGCGCCCCACAGTTTGAGAAATTCTGGTTTATAGGTTACCATCCCTTCTCATGATAAGTATATTGTTGAAACGTCCAATTTTAATCGACCAGCTATCTCCCCAACTATTACATACAGGTCGACCACTTTGTAAAATAATATCTACTATTTCAGTACGCTTAAGTCTTCACCTGTAAGAACTGTACATCTAAGTATCACGTGTGTTTATGTTCTACTCACCACATTTAATCAGGTGGATTTTCTCAAATAAATGCAATGTCTTTGTAGTGGACGAATCCAAATTTGCTATGGAATCAGATGATAAATTGTAAGGGTCTTATAAGAATAAGACATATGTAGGGACATTTTAAGGCATGGACTAACTGGGCCTGGGCCCAGGGCCTCGACAACAAAGGAGCATCGTCTCGTTTTCGACCAGGCCTTAATAAGATCATGATTCGAATAATTTCATCGGTCAAATGTGTTTTTCTGGTTGTATTCTCCGAAAAACTGGGAATATTGGACAATACGTCAACTGGCTACATATGATGGCCGTCGTCCATGTACAGACCTAGGCCTATCATCATACACCATCATTACTCCTTTAGTCAAAAGGGGACAGTCGGTCGAGCCGGTTTGTGTGATTTTAAGTCATGCAGATTTTTTTGTTTCGGGCTATTGATTGTGCGAGTACTTGTCAACGTATGCTAAGTACAGTCTACTTTTAAGGCTCATAGGTGGTGTCAACATTCGTGTAAGGGCCCAGGGCCTATTTTTGCGTAGGGATGAGGACCTAAAGAAGTCTTAAGACATCCCTAGACATATGAAATCAAGCCGTAAACGCTTTAAAAAAAACCACATTTAGAATTGGAACGTCAAAGTGTGAGACGGAATTTCATTAAGGTACCTCTACTAGATGAACTACTTCCGAGGGAGTTCAGTCGACCTCTGAACTTTACATGGATAAATTTCCGGGCGCCATTATGAATTTACACGTGGCAACAGTTGGTCCTTGTCTCCTCCTTATGAACAATAAAATATAGAACAAAATAAAAATGAAATATTGTAGATTTCGATGTTCCTTCATTTCTTACCTTTATTATAAAGCTTATGAAATTCCAAAGTGCTTAAGAAGACCACTCACACAAATAGAAACGTGACCTTAAACAGCTCTTTTTATTTATATTTGAATATTTAACAACCTTAAAAGTGTGTGTGAGTGAGAGAGAGAGAGAGAAATAGAGAAATTCAACTAGAGATAAGGGGGAAGGGGAATTTAACAGATAAAGTAAACGTATACGATTTGCGGCTGAAATATTTGAAAAGTAGATATCTTCAGCCTAAGACGTTGTGCTTCTGTGTAAATCCGTGTACATATACAATACTGAACGATGACCATGCCTTTCTAAGAAGTAGTGAAGTACAATATCAACTGCCCGTCTCGATTGCGTCAAAGAACACCATTATATATTAAAATTAGAAGATGCAGCTCACTTTTAACTTTTTGCATAAATTTCAGGAGATGAACATAGGTTTACCAGGAAAAAAAGAATGGATAGAATATTGTGATATATCATTTACAAAAAGCATAGTTTAAAAAAATAATAAAATTTCGAATCTTATTTCCTGTTTTTGATTTTACAGGTAGCCTTTAATGATCCCTGAAGGTTCTATGAAACAAATATTTGGAAAAATATTTCCAAATATTTGTGAAATTATTTCCTATAACCGGCTATTATTCGTTTCCTCTGATTATTTAATTTATGACTCAACTATGAAAAAGTAACATAAAAAAAATTAAGTCAATTCCTACTTAGGTCAACAAAGAAAATTTTCATTACTTTTTTAATAAATAATTACAATTAATATAAATATATACATACATATATATGACAGAATCACACTATTAAGTGGCAAAATAGAAAGTTATTTTCCTTACAATTTTCCATTTTCCTTTCTTTATATATAAAGTGTTGGACTATTATTTTTGTTTGTTACTATTTATTCATTAATAAAATTTTATTACAATAAAATAGTGTAGTAAAAAGAAATCCCATTATCAGAAATTAGGCCATCCCAGGTGGGATTCGAACGCACGACCTTTGAAATAAAAGTTCAACGCACTACCAATTACGCTACAGGAACACAACGAGCGATTTTCCTTTTGAAAAAGGGTGTTGGACTATTATTTTTCTGTTACTATTCATTCTTTAAGTAGAAGTAATGAATTAATATTTGAAAAAACTGTATTAACATCAAGTGTCATCCACTACAAGTTTAAAAAAAGGTATTTGAACTTGAGTGGATAAATAAAAAGTATTTTATTAACGATTGAAAATTTGAATAAGGTATATAAGTCAAAAATAAATAAATACAGGGAGAATGTGAGCTAATAGTAGGAATCGAAGAAAAAGAAGCCTGTAAAAATAGTATATTTTATTTATGAAATGATATAAAACTAACATGAGAATCTGAGCAATCAACAAAATATATTTCTTTTTTTTCGCTAGGATATATTTATTTTGTGTGACTGAACATCCGTTAAAGCAATACAGATGTTTATTGAAGATCAGTTGGTAAATCTGTGTTATACTCAGATGTTTCCGGATGGGATCTAAACATAAAAACAAAATACTTTAAATATCACACGTTCTCTTAAAAAAAACTATAGAATCTTTTTAAGATACCAATACTGATCCGTGTAATAGGTGAGCTTTGCACACATCGACTTTTGAGTCATACCAGAAAATTCTAATATTGTTGACAAAAAAAAGTGTCACTATGTCGTCACTGAGGGTCAAAGTTTTTATTTTCAGTTGCACATTGTCCTTATCAAGTGTGAAATGCCAAAAAAATCCGATATTGTTTTCACGAAACTTGACACTTGATGTGTTTATCGAAAACTGTCACAAATATGGAGCATACAAAAATTGAATATTATTGTGTGATTTCCCAATAATTTAATATAAGCTGTAACTGCTCGGATTTTTTATACATTTCAGGGCGAACATAAATTTTTTCAGTTAAAAATAGTTTGCTTAAATGGAATTTTGCTTTATGACGTTAATTGAATTAAATTAAGAAATTCATTTGACAGAATGGCAATACTTTTTGGTTCTATTTTCTTAATTATGCTGCGCTTTTGACTGCAATATTCTGTTTGATTTCAAAAATACCACATAACCGAACAAAAAATCGAATGATGTTCAAATTTTTCATAATAAAAGAGGCAAATTCCTTCCAAATGTTGCTAAATTTTGTAAATTTATTTCATTTTAGAATATTTTTCGCGTGTTAAAACACTTTAAAGAATAGAATTAATTCAAGAACAAGAGAAGAAATGTCTTTCCTGCAAATCTAACTTTATGCTTATGAGAGATTTACTGTTATAAAAAAAAATCTGAACAATCCATGTTTGAGCACAGTAACTATTTTTACAGAATTCAATCGACAATGTTCTTCTTCAGTTTCATCTAAATCTGTTCGAGGAGTAATTGTTACAAGGCCGTTCCTCGAGAACAAATTTTTAAGAGAGTTCGCAAAATAAATTATGAACAAGTCAATGTCATGTTAAAAACGCATGCTGTTTGCAGATGAGAGCAAATTTAGCATTTTCAGTTTTCTGATAAGTATTAAAGGTGCCCGAACACGTCCGAAGTACTTTTAAATAAAATAACATATTTAAACATTATAAATGCTCTTTTAGGATTCATTACCAATAAATACTACTATTTAACTAACAATATTTAAAATAAATTGCCTGAATTTTACAAAAAATACAATTATAAGTGAAATCTTAGCAATATTTTTGAAAAACTTCAAAGCAGTTAGAGAAAACAAGTAATAAACATATATTAGTAAAAGTATTACTAAAACAAATTAGATGCATTTATCTACGAAATGTACTAAAATTTTAATGTTTTATTAAAATTTGACAAATTTAGAAGCTGACTGAATAAAAATTTTTTAGAAATGTTCTATTCTTTATGAGACCATTATTTAAATAATCAGCCATAACTTAAAAGGTATTCATACAGCAAGACATATTTTAGTACATTCTCTAGAAAATAATATAAATATCAGGTTCAAAAAGCTGAATAGAAATACAGTTGTAATATTTTGAGTTATCAGACTCGCCATGATAAATTTTGAGCAATTTAAATGCCCACTTCAGGTAGATCGAAGACTGGTTCCTTCTGGTTTTTCTAATTTTATAAAATTGATTGTAACTTGGCTTCTATGTAACGTAGAAACAAAACAAAGTATGTTTCGTAAAGCCAAAAAATAGTTCTATTCAATAAAATAAAAAACAAAAATATCTATCTTGACCGAATTTGGTCATTTTCAACGTGTTCTGATACCTTAAAAGTTTACAGAAAAAAAAGTAGAATTTAATTATATAGAAGTCTATGTCACAGCATCATTGCTATGTCAAACTTTGGCACATTTATCAAGAAAATATTTCGTATCAAACCGATATACATTTTACGAAATAAAACTTTAAAATTCATGTATGAATGATTGATTATATTGCAGAATCTCTTTCTTTAGAATTAATTTGAAAAGATAAATTAAAAAAAATGAATTAATGAGATGTTTATAAAGAACTTGTATTTTTGTATTGCTTCCAAATCTGTGGAATTGTGAGTTTCCAGTTCTTACCTACTGTAAGCATTTCCCCCCACTTGTCAAATTTATATTATATTATTTTTGAATGCTGAGCAAGTAACCCAAGGATCATTTAGATTCCATGATATGTTAAATATTTCAGCAATATGCACACCATAAATAAACAGGTAGTTTGTCGGTTTCCTAAAATCAACTGGTCATTCTCCTTACATGTTGTAAAAAAGGGCCTACTAGCACATGACCAGTCCGCGATTACATAAAAGAAATGCAGCAAATAATGATTGATTCATATATTTACCTACGTTTTCAAAATTTTGGGCAAGAGTTTTAAGATAAAACAATATTTTCAAGACTGATTCATATATTTACCCACATTTTCAAGAGTTTGGGCAACACTTTACGATAAAACAATATTTTCAAGAGTAATTTATATATTTACTCACGTTTACGAAATTTTCGACAACAGCTTTACGATAAAACAATATTTTAATGCTCGTGTAAAATCACCATGCATTATAATTGGACAACGTGGAGCATTCATAGAATTTACATCTTGTATTAATTGGTATTCACTTATTTATATAAGGATAATTTGAAAAGATATATAGTTAAAAAAAACTGAGTGTTGGCTCCGATGTACGACTGTAGTTTACTCCTTAAGTACGGTTGTCTTTGGTTATATAGTAGGCAAACGGGGTAAATAAACGCATCTCATATAATATTGAAACCATGCATGTACTTTCTTTATTCTATTCACATTTTTCACATTGATTCTCGGTAAAATAATATATATTATACATAAAATAATATACATCAACTGTGTTACATAAATATATGTTACTCACACATAGTACATGAGTACATTCTTAAAAAGGTTGATTTACTCTTCACTATTAATATCAGTGTGTGTATTAATCACATGCTCTCGCCATTATTAATAACTATGACAAGAGGCTTGTGGTAACTAAAGTATGATATGTGAACGTCGGTAGATACGTGATTTACGAATCGTAAAAACATCGCATCAATGATTGTACCATACCAAGTCGTCCCCAGTGCTTTACCAGAAAAAAAATCCAAATTCAGCTCTAATTTTAAAAATTGTACTAATCTCAATCCTTCCTCTTTATCGAAATCAATATTGAAATCGCCGCCAAGTATGAGTGGAAGTACATGATACTGTTTCCCCAATAGTTTAGAACCACCTTCTGTATGTGCTAATAATGTCTCGTGGATATAATCTATAATGTCAGTAACATTCTGATTGACAGAAATATAAACTGTGACGACAACAATGGGTTTACCATCAGGTATATATATAAAGTGCATCTCGTGGCACATATATGTCCCAAATTAGATTTAGTTTGATCAACACGTACCGGGTATTTCTTCTCACAAAATCATCAGGATTGCCAATAAACTTATGCTGTGAACCGCACACGTTTTGATAGATGGCGACCCTGCCCCCACGATTAATGCCTGGTCGTCTATACTGTGTTATGTGCTTAAAATGTTCAAGTTCAATTAATTCCTCATTGCGAAACCATGCTTCTGATAACATCAAAATGTGTGCTTTTTGCACAATATTACCAGGGAGATCACGTGCATATGCCCGGAGACTTTGGCAGTTGAGAGAAAAGAGAATCATATGCCCTTCATTCATTTTATGCATCATAATTTGATCAATAGTAGTAAGGTGAACAGAAAAACGTCTGGTAAACTCATTTCGTAATGGAAGCATCGTTTCATTGTTTCTTCTGCCGTAGTAAAAACGTTGACGCCCATCAGTAGTTACAATATGAAGTCCTTTTCAAGCCGTCACCCTGGATAAGGCAACGTAGACCAAAGGTTGTGAGTGGGCCTTGCTGTATTTGTAAGCAATTTCCTCAAATGTCCCTCCTTGCGATTTGTGAATTGTCACGGAGCAGGCTGGTTTCAATGGGAAATTATTTCTTTTAGCATGAATAGATCTTTTTCGGTTGAGAGGAACTGCTGAAGATTTACGATTGATATATGAACCATTTCTCTACCGAAAGAAATGTCTTCTGGTATTTATTCTGTCTTCCCAGAATTCTTCTCTGAAGAAGGCGTAGCACTATCTTCATAAGGCAGTTAGAGCCTCCAGACAAGAGATTATCCCTTTAATCTACTGTCCGTAAGCTGTAACTGACTCTTGAAGATATCGCTACAAAGGGAATATTCTAACGGAGTATATTGGTTGTGTTGTTGAAATAAAGTTTATTTTGAAAATCATGCTTCGTTACTTTGCTATTCAAGGCACCAAAATAGCATTAAATACCTATCACCAATTTTGGGGATTTTCAGTTGTTTTAGTCAGCTTCTTTGTCCAATGAGCTAAGTCATGAAATGTCTGGTTTTCGACACCAAATTTGCTAAAAAGATAGTAAGCGTAGTTTGCGAATTCTTCTTAAAGTTTTAATTTTTGTTTTGAAGGGTTAGTTTTTAAAATATACTTTCCAAATTTCCCACATAGGTAACAAATAACGGTAATTTTT